GATCCTTAAACAGGGTGCGGGGTTAAAGTTCCATCGGTCCCATGGACCGGCCTAGTCGCCGCGCGGGCTCAACAAAACCAGAGGGGGATAGCCCGGTAGGGCCCTCAACCCCTCGGTTTCCTCCATAACGCCTTGCTGCTGTTGCGCCGACGCCCCACCGACCCTCGATCCCGGCACCTCCGCCGCAATAGTCCAATACCGTAACCAATAGGGCTAAGCCCAAGCCTGATAAAGTGAAGCGCGAGCTTCAATGTGAAGCAGTGCCGCGTCGTGCCTAGGCCTAGGAAGAACAGCCTAGGCCCTCGTTTCCCACCTGCAACTGGCCCGCCAACATTAGGTACCCGCACCGGCCTACTTGGACCGTGTCGTCACCACCCCGTGTGCCTAGCGGCGTGCCAGTCCCACCGTCGGCCACGCACACTACCCAAGAACGACTTTCATCCCTCAAACAAAATCCGCAGCACGTCCCAGGTCGGTCGACTAGACCGGCCGCTCCCTCAACCAGAAAAATCAGATGCGCGCCTTAAAACTGCGCGCCCACATACCCTCTAGCTCAGTCAGGACGGGCCCCGGACTCCGTCGTACCTCGCCCGACTTATGCCGACCAAACCCATTTTTCTGTCATTTGCAAAAACCAGGGCGGATACCCTTGTAAGGGTATTCGCGCCTACAACCTACCGGACTATATTAAGCGACGTCCCGGTCGCTACGGCAAATCAGAAGGCTACAAACTCATTCACATTCCAAATGCTGACGAGAGCGGAACCAAATCCGATTAGCCGACAGACTCAGGGTCGAGGCCTCCAACACTCCATGCCGACATAACTATATGCTGCCACGGTTTCAACCAGGGTTTCCGTTGTCCTGACATCAGGACACAGGTGTATTACGCATCAATACTACAGCATAAGTTCCAAAGGCCACCTCAAACCGTCCTTCCCCCTTCGTCCTAGACAAACGCCGACTTTTCGTTGGGTGTCCCAGTTAGACCCCCTCTTGCAAGCAGAGTCATACGGGGACGCGGGCCTTAGACGAGACCTCAGAAGGCACTCTTGCCTCCCTCGCGAAAATCCCCACAACCAAACATATATATATATCTATATCTATATATATATAGATATATAGATATACATAAATCTCCTCTCAGCTTTTTCTGTAGTCTAGTACAGAAACGCCATGTCTTCATCCTGGCCCACCATAGTCTGGTTGATCGAGCCAGATCTACGGCCTACCGCATTGTTATCTTAGCGGCAGTCCCTTCGTTGGTTATGCAACGAAAGGTTTTCTCCTAATAGGCATCCAATCAGGGTGCCCAAACAACTCGACTCATATCCCCGCCATTCCACCAGAGTAATTTCCTCGGGGCGTGCATAACCTGTTAAACTCTTACTCTGCTGGTAGACGTGGGCCCGCAGCCAGGTTGTGCTGGCTTGCAGCCATCCAATAGGGGTTGCGCCCTAGAGGTGCTAACCTTTACCGTTTAGTTTGGTATTCCCTAATATGCCTTAGGATTAGCACAGGTGTCTAGACGGTGCGTCGCAAAACAAACTCCGAGGGCCACTGCGGGACGACGCAGGGATCTGCCCTACTTTTAAGGGTATTTTACCGGCCCCTTATGGGACAACATAGAGGGCACGACCCCTTTCTCACAATCACAAACAATTTCACCGCTAGGCTCACATGAGGCCGTGGCCTACTGACTTGATGAGAGACAGCAGACCACACATCCCATGACATCTTTATGCACTGACTTGCGACCTTCTCAGTTCCACCAATGATTCCAACTCGTAACCCTGGTTCCTCTCGTCACACTTTATCATTCAAGCATTGCTTACCATGTCCTTATATCTATCACCCATTTTTCGCATGAAGGGGGTCCCTCTCAACAGCTCTCCCAGGCACCCTCTCATGCGACCTGGGTTACACTGCCGTCAATAGACAACATCCCCATCTTCCATAATCCGTGGGGTCCCAATTATAGAACAACTCAACTGAGGAGCCTTCTTATGGGCTACCTCCCTAACTTAAACACAAAACAATTCAAACTAAGCGCCAACTTATGGGTCCCCTTCACAGCTCAGCCATAAACACTTGGCATGGTAAGCATCCGAGCCTTATAGGATCGCAAGACCCCTCAGGGTCCTCATACATCTGTCACAAAACGGTCGCGCTGCCTCCTCTTATACCTGGCCGTTCCGCCCGCCCATGGGCAGGCCGCACGAGTATACCGAAGAGTAGACGGCAATCACAATCACACAATACACATACATGAGATGCATCCCACACATCTCTCACACAAAGTCCTCACTCATTGGGATGAAACCACACGTATGAGAGTGATTGTGATCGTCACAAGAATAAGTCTCACATAGTCTGGAATCAAAGATATATTCGGGAGCAAAATATCTCCTTCAAGTCTCAATACAACACCCAACTCAAAACCTCAACACACAAACTCGTAGGATACATTTGGGAACAAAAATGTCTGCCCCGAAAACACTCAAATACTCATTCCACTGTCTCACTCCGCAGGATAGACTTACGTCCCTGGTGTCATGGACTCTCAAAACCTACTCAAAGATACAAGTAAAAGTATCCGAAACACACAACTGAAAATGCAAGTCACGTATGTCGTAGATATCATACAACTAAGTCTCTTTCCCTATATAGTATCACACATAAAGCTGAAGCCGATCACACACCACCACCTATGTATATACAACTAGACGGGACTCGCCTGACTGACTCAGAGGGGGTATACCCCTACCACGACCTCTGTGTGCAGAGGAACTCTAATCCTACAGTCATATAGATAGACCAGCCCCTACTCACTCATAGCCTCCTGGTTTTGTCTATATAATTGTGCCCTACCCCCACCTGCCCCTGCCTGTCGTACATTCTCCCACCACTCCCTGTTACTCTCCCGGCCGCCTTGTCTTTGAGGAACTTCGGGCATTGAAGAGCTCTATGTATGTCGTCCTTGCAGAAGAAGCACTGATCATCTGATCTCCCTCGACACCTCCTCCTCTTCCTTTGGGACTCAGGCAACGGCGGCGTCTCGCTAGTTTCCCTGCTCATCTCGTGGCTCTGGGGCATACTCCACGATTCTGCTGGCCCCGCCTCCATCGTCTGGGTACTCGGCCCTGTTAGCGCCTCACCTCCCTCGGGCCGGTACGCTGGAGTGTCCAATCTCAGAGGCCTACCCTCGCGGACTCCTCCCATCGCAGCCGCCTCCTCGTCCCTATGCCGGTCAAAACGTTGAGGAGTCACGGCAGCCGCTGGCTCGCTCATAACCTCCTGCTGCTGCTCTGAGATGTGCTCTCCTGAGTCAGCTCCAGTAGCCCAAGAGCCTAACTGCGTCCTCAGCTCTCCTATCTCTTGCACACACTCTGGGGTCTTCTGTCTCTAAGGCTCTCCCGACGGCATGTACAACTCCATAGCTGCCACTAACTCATCTAGTCGAGACGCCTCTCCTCCCATTGCCTCCGGCTCGATGGATGCTACTGCTCCCGTAAGGGCACCCTCCTGCACCTCCAAAAGGATCGTAGGGGACTCCTCTGTGGGGCCCCCTTCCTCCACTGGAGGTTGGGGTCCCTGTGTCGACCCGCCCTCAGGGATCTCAATCGTCATAGGGGTGGCCTGTTGCGAGGCCAACTCCGTGGGAGTCCTGAAGCTGAACCTCCTCTCCTCGGCCTCTCACCTCGCTGCCGCCTCTGCTGGGTCCAGGAATACCTTCCCCATTCCCTCTTGCTGTGGCATCTCCGTCGTCCCTTCCTGGTCAAAGAGCCCCTGTACCTCCATTCCCTGGATACCATACCGGCTCTGCTACCACCTTAGTGGCCGAGAGCCTTTCTACTATCGCTACCATGTCCTGAAGCCTCTTCTCCTACTCCGCCTCCTTGGCTTCCATGCGGGTCCTCCATGCCTGGTTCTCTGCCCTCTCTTCTGCCAGTTGGCTGGACAACTGTCCCACCTCTAATCTCGAGGCCGCCAACTCATCGTTGAGCATGGAGTACCGATGGAAGGACGAGATTGCCACCTCACCTATCCTCCTGTCTGTACGCTTAATCTCCATCCTGGCGGCCGAAAATCCCAAGTCCTCTGTTTCTCGTGCCTTGCCCACCCTCGCATTCTTTTGTCCCACCTCCTGTGACCTCAGGCGAACAGCATCCCTCTCACCCTCATAGCTGGTCCAGGCCTCGCTAATCCTCTGCTCGCTCGTCGGAGGGTCAATTGGCGGTTTCGACGATTCTCCTGCAGCCTCCATCCTAAGTTTTTCCTGGTATAGCTCCTCGAGGCGTATCTGCACCCTTGCGCGCTTCTCTTCTTTCGTCTCCTCCGGTGGCCTATCTGTCCTCGCCTCGTGGCCCGTACGCAGTGGATCTTTCTCACTTGTCCCCTCGTCAGTGGGTGGCGGTCCTAGCGGAGGCTCCCCAGATGTCGGCACCTCCACATCCATGCGTGTGCCTGTAGACTCAATTAGCTGTGGCGCCACAATGGTAGGTGTCCTCGCCCTCTCGCCCCTCTCTGGCTCAGCCCGCGTCGGGGGCGGCGTAGTAGCCTCCAGTGGGGGCCCCAACAACTCCTCGCTATTCGGCTCAGGGATCCCTTCAGGCCAATACTGTCGTGCCTGTTCTGGAATCGGGGTAGGAGGAGTGGTATCATCCCCAACGGTGATAACCCCCTCAGCTTGCGGTCCCTCGGGTTCGCGAGCCCCCGCCTCGGGCCCCGGCTCAGGTGGCTCCTCCTCTACTGGCTCATACCGTGCCGGTCCTCTCTGGTCCGCTCCTAGCTGTGACACCCCCCACTGGGACGCATCGAGATTAGCCTCCAACCTGTCGAGTGGCGTCCTCAGCGGCACCGCCTCCCCCCCCTCTGGTAACGTCGGCGACGGGCCCCGTAGATCACTACCCGTGATTCGGCGAAACTCCACCTGCTCGAGTCCATAGGTAGGGGGTAGCTCCGCCGCCTGAGCTGGCCCTGCGGCCTGAACTGGCTCCATTGCCTGGGCGGCCTCTGCTAGCCCCTCTCGCTGTGCCAAGGCCTTTCGGCCCCCTCTGGTCGTACTGGTCCCTCTCGCCTCTGGGCCCCGTGGCCTCTTACTCCTTTGTCGTCTCTCCACCCTGGGCTTTGGTTTCTCGGGCTCCAGTCGTCGAAATGCCTGTCTCAACTGGGCCTGGCAGTCCTCCCAGTTGTGTTCCCTGTCCCGGATCTGCCTCGCCAACGACCTCTCCACCCTCCGTGTCCAGAGGGGCAGCATCTGCATCCACTCCTCCTGCCCAGTCCCCTGGTCGCGCATATACTGCTCATAGGCAGGGATGAACTCCTCCGCGTTGCTTTCCTCCAATCGAATAGGCAACCCATCCGGTCCCATCGACGAAGCCCTCAACATCTGCATCCTCGCCTCCACATCCTGCCATGTCAACGCCTCCTCTCGAATGTGCGCAATAGGCTCCTCGAAGCGCCCAACTCCCCTCAGGTGTCGTATTCTCTCCAAGGTAGACCAGCCCTCCCGTGTCGCATATGCCTGCTAGGAGTCCAGAAAAAACTTTATGTTACCGTCGTCGAAGGTAGGCGTAGACTCTCTCCCAACCGGTCTGTGCGAGTCATCCCCTCCTGATGCTCCCTGAGGCCCCTGTCGTGGCCGCGCGCCCCTCCCTCCCCTCTGCATGGCTGTCTTCGAAAAGTCAGACCTGCACAACAGGTGAGAGAGAGCAAGCAGGCACACAACAAGGTTAGCCCTTGGTTCATCAAGTTTTTGTAACAATACATGCCTTTTCCTACTCCCTCACCTGTCCTGACCATAACATGCGATACCTCACCTGTCCTGACCATAACATGCGATACCTCAAGGGCCAGTCTACTCTGAGAAGGGTAGAATTCTTTACCTATTCCCTGGCCACGAACTTCTTCAGCCTGGTCCCTGATACCCAATCCTACCACCCTGTCCCGTCTAGCTCCTCGATCTGATAGGCCCCAAATTCGCCGCACCGCAATATTCTATAGGGGCCCAACCATCTCTTGTCAAGCTTCCTCGACCATTGCTTTTCCAAAGAGGAGTCGTATAATAATACGACATCCCCTACTGCCAACGACTCCTTTCTTACTCGTGCCATCTGGTCCCACCTCATCTTAACTTCCATGCGACTTCTTTCCACCTGACCAGCGGCCTCTCGCAATCTTTCTTTGGCCGTGCCCACTTGCCGCGCCCGAATATCGAGCAGTTCTTCGAAAGACAGGTTTACCTCCAAGTCCTAGCGCCTCCACGTCTTCATAAAGTTTTCTATGGGAAAGGTGGCATGCCTCCCGTACCATAGCGTGGCTGGCGCGTACTTGGTAGTCCTTTTTACCGTAACATTCTCCACGAAGAAAGTTGTCCGTAGGAACTTCGGTCACTGACCAGGCTTGCCCTCTGTCCACTTAGCCAGGAGATTCGTGATGGTACTGTGCCCTCTCTCCACAGGAGCGTTTGCTTAAGGGTGTGCGGCCGTAGTATAGTTGGCCACTACGCCACACCCTGCAAGCAACGTCCTCACCTCATTGCAAGTAAACTCTGATCCTCGATCCATCACGAACTCCCTGACGAAAGGGTATCGCAGGTAATACTCCTCGATGCAGTTTGCCAAGACCGGGCCAGTCTTTATCCGGATAGCTCGTCCGTCCACAAACCCAATAAGGTTATCCCGTGCATCGAAGATGTAGTTACACCCATTTTCCCCTGCTGGCATGAATAACAGGTTCAGGTGTACGACCGCACCCACTTCCCTTTCTAACCTCGGGTGTAGGGGTTCTCCAGGCCTTTGCGCTGACCTCTCTTGACAAGGTATACAGGACCGACAATATTTGATAACCATCGTCAGCATCCCGTCCCAATGGTAGAGCTCGCTTATCTTCGCGCATGTGGCACTTACCCCTCTGTGCCCCCCTGCTATACCATCGTGTACGGCCGCTATGATGTCAATTTGCCGGTTTCTCCCACATACGATCCTCATGGGGTTCCCGACCTGCCGCTTTATAAACAAGTGGCCGTCTCTTACCACATAGAGGTGTCTCATCTTTTGTGCCTTGGCACTTGCATCTCTATCACTCATCTCACATGATAGGAGTAACCCCAATTCCCGGTAGGTCCCATTGTACTCCTTCGCTCGAAACGCCTCCTTGATTTCTCCTTTCTCGAATTCGTTATCTCGGCTTTCAGGAATCAGAATCTCATTCTCCTCGTGACTGAACGAGCCCTTCCGGTCGAAGTCCCCTTGCAGGAGCGTATTGGTGAGCAGGTACATCCCTCCCATTAGCTGCTCATGCTCCTCTACCTGAGTGGGACCTTCCTCTATTGTCCTCACTTCCTCCACCAGACTTTGCGTACCTGCCAACGCCAACTTCATCATCCAACCAACATCCTTACTTCCACACGGATCCTCCTCCTCAAAGGGCTGAGGACTAACTCTTCCTTCTGCTCGTACTCCTTTGGTGCCAGCCATATGGGGTGACTGACGCAACTGGGCACTCACGGAGACCATTCGTTTATGTGCAGGCGGACGTCCTCCTCTTGATCCAAAAACCCATCAACTTGCGGTGTATCTTCTATCGACTCCTCGTACGATCTGTCCCAGTTGATGCGGCTTAACCCGTCCGCCCTGTTCTTGTTCCCTGGGATCCTCTCCAGCTCGAAATTAAACGTCCAAATGTAGGTCAACCATTTTGCGACGGTTGGGTCAGATGGAGTATAATTCTTTAGTGCACATGCCAGCGCAGTAGGGTCCACCCTCAAGATGAGCCTCCTGCCAAAAACGTAGTTCCGAAAGGTCCTTAGGCAATGAAGTACCGCCAACGTCTCCTTCTTGAACTGAGAGTAGTTCCTCTCAGTTGTATTGAGGGTACGACTTTCGAATCTTAGCGGCCTCTCCTTCCCTTCAGTATCTGCCTGGATCAGGATTCCTCCCAAGGCAGTTGGCCCAGCGTCCGTCTCAATGACGAATGGTCTTTCCTCCGTGGCCTCATAGTTTGGCGCCCCCAATACCAAACCTCCTTCCTTAAACTCTTCCTTCATCCTACCGACCGCCTCTTCCTGGTCTTCGCCCTAGACCCATTCTTGATCTTGGCGCACCAACTTCTTTAAATGCTCCGTCTTCGTGGCAAAGTCCTTCACGAAGCTCCTCCAAAATCCACACGTCCCAGGGAAGCTCCTCACATCCGTTATCGAGCGGAAGGGCTCCGGCCACTCAAGAATCTTGTCTGTCTTCTTTACATCAGGCCTTCGCCCACTCTCATCACAGACAAAGCCTAGAATCGTGGTCTCCCTCATAGAATGTTTCGACTTGGGGCCACTCGCCGTCAAGTTATGTTCCTCCATTTACCCCAGAACCTGATCGATGTCTTGGACATGCTTCCAAACAAAGCGTCGCACACCGGGCATCACTTCGTCTTCCTCCTTCTCCTTTGGACCTTTGACCGCCAGGTCATCGACATAGGGCTGAGTGATATGTGGGCTAACCGTCTGCATGGCTCTGATCATATGCCTTTGCACCATTGCCACTGCATTCGTCCAACCTTGAGGTGCCACGTTCATATGAATCAACCCTCTGGGAGTGTGCATTGCCGTTACGGGCCTGTTTGGCGGGTATACGGGGAATTGGTCATACTCTGAGTAGAGGTCTATAAGCGAGATTATAGGCCTCCTTGCACACGATTCTGACAATTCGTCCGCGTTCGGCAATCCTCTCGCGTCTCGCACTGTCACCGCATTTAGTCGTTGCAAGTCCTGCACCCACCTTAGCGTCCCATTCATTTTAATAAAACAAAACCAAGGCGACGCATACAGTCCACTGGAATAGTCGGCCATGTGTGTCTGCATCTTGCCGTCCAGGTACTCCACCACCTTCTTTTCCTCATTCGGATTTGGGTATCGTGCGCCCCTTAGATTCCATGGCTTGTGTGGAACAGTGTGGATTCGTATCCACATCCAGCCTCCCACGTTCGTCGTCATTGAATGCATATGCCCGGTGCCTTTTCTTCATCAGCCTCACCATCAACACTCTTTCTTGGGGCGATAGGAAGTCGGGCTCCCCGATTATCAGCTTTCCCTCGTTCTCATCGTTAATACGGCACGGCCCGGCCAACGCATGCTCCCGCATACGCCGTATCAGACCTCGCTCCCGCTCGTAATAGGCCTCCTCATCCTCTGTGACGAGCACGGGAACTGGGCGACACTTCTTGTCTATGGTCTTGTACCGCCTTTGGGAACCCTACTTAAGCCCTCCCCTAAAAAAGGCCTACTCGTCGCTCGGGCCTGGGCCATCGCAGGGTCTCCCCTCCCTCCCGGAAGCCGATACACCAACTCCACCTCCCCTACCTGAGGGTTCTCCAAAACCTGTTCCCTCAATGCCTTAATGGCCTCCGGGTCCGCCATGTCATGAGCCGATACCACCTCCATGGCCTTATTCACATCCGTGAGGCTCAATGTCAGCACCTCAGCCCTACCTTCCTCCTCAGACACTTCCCAAAGCCGTCTCCGCTCGCTCTCTGATTCCTCAAAGGTGAACAAGCCTAGATTGGGCCTATTCCTCCCGCTCCCCGGCCCTGTGTTCCGGCAGGTGATAACTTCATGATTCCCACACGCCGGGTTGCACAGGAGCAAGATCATTGTTCCGTCATGCTTGTTGAAAATCAACATTTCCGTCTTGCACAGAAATGACCGCCCCAGAAGGATGGGGTGATCGACATCGGGCATAACGAAAAAACAAGTCCTGGCTCGCACCTTCCCAAAACACTATAATCACATTTGACGCTGTGCCGCAAAAGGCAGCCTTGCAGTTAGCGCCGAGCAACATGCCATGGTCCGAGTGGTCGATCTCCATGCCTATCATCACCGCCTCCTTCTCCCTGATGATGTTCATCTCTGCGCCCGTGTCCACCATCCCATTGCATTTCTGGTTCCTTATTACCAAATCCACATGCCCGCACGCCACACATTTTCAATCCATCCTCGTCCCTGCCTCAGTCCACTCCACCTCTCTAGGCAGGACCGTACTCAGATGGACATTCGGCACTAGCCTTCGCGACAGTCGTCCCTTCAACTCACCACGGAGCCTTGGAGGCGACGCCAGGATGTCCTTTAGGTTCATCAAGTCATTGTGGCCTTCCAGTAGTTCGTCCACCATCCACTCCACATCAAAGCCTTCCTCCATCCGGACCGCGTATTTCTTCCTCTTAGGCACACTGTCGGGCAGGCTTGGCTCGACCTCCTTCTAGGCCCCCCTCTTTTTGGCCCTCAGCTCCGCCCGCTGATCCTCCTCTTGTCGGAGCCTCTCATCCTCTTCATCGTCATCCTCTTCCTTCGGAACCTCCACCACCTCCTTCCTACGTCCGGGCTCAGGCTCCTTGCGAGGGGGTGCCTGACTGGGCACCTGGCTGGGCTCTTGACTAGGCCCAGCCTTATTTTGGCCCCTGGTCCGAGCCGCCTGCGACACCCTCCCATGCGACGTGGGGGGCCTATAGGCCATACCTGACCTAGGGCCCGTCCCTACAGTCGCCACTTTTAGGTACCCCTGTTGTCCTGGCGAAGGCTCTGGTCCAAGTCGTAGAGGAAGACCTTAGGCAGATTGGCCTCCCACTCTCGACCTTCTTCACACAGGACTTGCAGCTTCCACTGGTATCTCCCCACCTTTTCCAACAGATCTTCCACCCTTCCCAGGAGGAGTGTGGCCAGCTCTCCCTCGTCTTCCCGCCCCTCATCGTCCGATTCGACGCAGCACTGCTTTAGTCCCCGTCGCTCGGCCTCCCCCGTGCTGCTCAACTTCTGGCTAGTGTCACTTTTCGACCGCAGCCAACTGTGCAGTGCCCGCTACCTCGCTGCCCGCTACCTCTTCGCTCCTTAGCTCTGCGCTACCCTGCGCATGTACCCAGCGACCGCCTCTGCCAATACGTCCATAACGATCCTCTTCACCCCTGGGGTCCTGGACGCGGCGGTCTCTTTCCTTTCTCTTGCGCCTTTGCAGCCGCACCTGATGTTGCTCCACCTGGTCCAGGCTCCCCTCCTCCACCTCTTTATCAATAGTGGCCCAGGTGAGTTTCTCACTTCCCCCTCCATGACCCGTCAACTCCGAGGCCTCCGAGCCAATAAGCAAACCCAAAAATATGGCACACTGCGTTTCTTCAGCGATCCCGTGCACCTTCCGCGCCCTCCTTTTAAACTCGTGCACAAACGCCCCAATTGTAGAGAAGTCATCCTTATTCATGGCCTCCAAATCCACCGTGGTTAGCAAGCCATCCCCCAACCTGTACTTTCTCTGCATCATGTCCCTGAACCTTGCCCAACTACCATTGGCGCCCTCCACGACCTTGCCCACTTCGTGATGGTGGCTATGAAGGACATATCTCAGGACTCGCTGGAGCTTGACCTCGTCCGACAACCCTACTAAGGCTTCCTCCGTCAGGTCCAGCCAGTCGAACACCCGTTCTCCTTTGAAGTGGAAGGTATCAACCTTCGGGACATTGCTCGGTGCTCTCTCGTGCTTATCCAGGGCCTCAACAAGGTCGTCGATCGTTAGGAGCTTTCTCCCGCCGTCCGCCATAGCTTCTGGCATCTCGGGCTGAATGCCCTGAAGTCCAACCTTCCTGTTACAAAGACGATGGGACGCAAGGGTTCCTCTCAGCAATCCAATTTCAGCCGATCTTATCGCGCCAACCACTTCTACCCTCGATATTCTAGACCTGGCAGACATTCCTATCTCTGTTCCCCCTAGGCTCGCCTAAACAGGACTTATCCCCACCATAGGGTATCCTCACACATTTACCTCATTCGCTCTATCAACCGTACCGCCAGTCAACCGAGTCATCTATACTTACTACCATAGCGGTCCTCGTTAACCTCGAGGGTCGCATTCGACACTCAAGTGTCGGCTGACACTCGCCCTGAGGGTTAATCTCTCGACGCTGGACAACCACCATGCGCGGTTGAAGACCACACCCTCTTCTGCGCCCTGTGCAAAGGGGTTGAGTAGACAGCTTTAAGTTGTCGTGGCGGTCAAACATCAAGGGGTTTGACTTTGACGGCCGCCACGGACTGTAACGTCCAACCATGAAAGCGCAAAAAGGGAACTCACTCCAACCCCCATTAGCTGA